CACAGTTTTAGAAATTAAACATTTGTGAAGGATTGATAAAAATAAAAGAAATATTAGATCCAATATCCCTTCAAAAAACCAAACCAAGGTCGTATTACGAGCAGAATTCAAGGGTAAAGTACCTTGTTAAGAATATTATTACACTCCATTACATAGGATAAGCGAAAACACAGCAGCTAAGGAAGTGAGGATCTCACGTCTGGATACCCCCACCCCACCCCTCCCGTAACAACCAGAAAACCGAACAGCAAAACGAAACCTTAATGACTACTGAGTTTATGGCTGATCTAAGGAGAATTATCTAAGCAATGATCTTTTTCTTAAAAATAATTGCAATTTTCCATTCAGAATCCAGATTCTTTTTCAATAAAACACTACTTCCCTACAGCTATCATAGAAATTAAACATTTTTGAGGAAATTATAAACAAAAATAAAAGAAATATTAGACTTAACATCCCTCTCAAACAACCCAAACGAAGGTCGCATTACGAGTGAAATGCAAGAGCGAAGTACCTTGTTAAGGATGTCTGTGAAAGAGACAAAATCATCGATGGCTTTTTTATCTGCTTCAGCCTGCTTCTTATTCGATTCAAGTTCTGATTAAGATAACAGAACAAAATCTTTTTTAGAGTCTAAAGGACATGTCTCATTTGAGTAATCTTAATAAGTATTTTAAAAATACTAATTATTACAAAAATAATTAAAAACAAAAAATATGGTCAGAAGAGATCTATAAGATATGCCCCACTTCCAACGTGTGTCTTTGTAGCCCTGGTCGTGGAAGACACGGGTTCGAATCCCGTCGAAGACTGAAAACCTTCTTTTCTGCAATTGCTTACATTGCAGCTCACCTGTCGGTGGAACATTGCTTTATTTGATTTACTTAATACTAAATATAAAACACAGATAACTTAGGTGACGAGAAAATACTTGGAAAAACTTCAATTTGTAGTTGATCTTGTCAGTATATCTTATTGCCTCAAACTACAGAAAAATCCCAAATGAGGTGGCTTTGCTTTATAAAGCCTACTCTAGAACTGAAAAAGAGCGAAAGCCAAATATTTCTAAAGTCTAAAGGAAGTAAGTTTCTGAAGAAACTGTGGTGCTACGTCGGTGTGGGTAACAAGGTAATTTAGTTATATCAACTAGGTTGAAATTGTAAATTGGCCACCGTAAAGAGTAAAAAAGCTGACGTCTCAAGGGTTAGCCCTTCGTCATAGGGAATGGAGAAATTGTGGGTTCTGTGTGAGTTTATACGCAGAAAGTGGAGATCCAGTATTGGTGGAAACATGGTGACGAGAAAAACGCGAATAAATTAGTAGATTGAAAAGCGTTCGTTGATACCTATAGTGTCGATTTGAAAGATAAACTTTCGTTCAAGAGTTTTGCGGCTTTCCCAGCTACCTAAGTGTAAGGATCGGAAAGACCACAGATTGCCATATGCTGCTTAGAATGATTAGGTAGATTAAAGTGTCTAGCGATTGGTTGTGAGGGTAAAAATGTGAGAGTGAATGGAATGCGTTCGGAATTTTCCTTCTGTGACGTTTGCAGTGCGGACTGTCGATCAATAAGTTGGGCGNAAAATTATGGTCAGAAGAGATCTATAAGATATGCCCCACTTCCAACGTGTGTCTTTGTAGCCCTGGTCGTGGAAGACACGGGTTCGAATCCCGTCGAAGACTGAAAACCTTCTTTTCTGCAATTGCTTACATTGCAGCTCACCTGTCGGTGGAACATTGCTTTATTTGATTTACTTAATACTAAATATAAAACAAAGATAACTTAGGTGACGAGAAAATACTTGGAAAAACTGCAATTTGTAGTTGATCTTGTCAGTATATCTTATTTCCTCAAACTACAGAAAAATCCCAATTGAGGTGGCTTTGCTTTATAAAGCCTACTCTAGAACTGAAAATGAGCGAAAGCCAAATATTTCTAAAGTCTAAAGGAAGTAAGTTTCTGAAGAAACTGTGGTGCTACGTCGGTGTGGGTAACAAGGTAATTTAGTTATATCAACTAGGTTGAAATTGTAAATTGGCCACCGTAAAGAGTAAAAAAGCTGACGTCTCAAGGGTTAGCCCTTCGTCAGAGGGAATGGAGAAATTGTGGGTTCTGTGTGAGTTTATACGCAGAAAGTGGAGATCCAGTATTGGTGGAAACATGGTGACGAGAAAAACGCGAATAAATTAGTAGATTGAAAAGCGTTCGTTGATACCTATAGTGCCGATTTGAAAGATAAACTTTCGTTCAAGAGTTTTGCGGCTTTCCCAGCTACCTAAGTGTAAGGATCGGAAAGACCACAGATTGCCATATGCTGCTTAGAATGATTAGGTAGATTAAAGTGTCTAGCGATTGGTTGTGAGGGTAAAAATGTGAGAGTGAATGGAATGCGGTCGGAATTTTCCTTCTGTGACGTTTGCAGTGCGGACTGTCGATCAATAAGTTGGGCGGGGTGGTGACCCCCTTGAACGACTGAAACAGGGTAACGACGTTTATCGAAAAACTGGCACATTGACTCTGATTAGTGGAAAAAATCAGTCATCACTACATAAACGACGAAGTCTTGGAAACTGAGAAAAGGGAATGGAATTATTAACATGAGATGGATGCCAAGATGAATACAATAAGTAGCTATGCGAGTCTGTAGGGTTGTAAGACACACTTGTGCATAAAAAGGATAAAGAATTGTCGGAAGTTTCCTAGGTATATTTTCGAGCCGGGTGAAAGGAATTGACTGCGGTTATTAATTGAGTAAGCTCCTCTTTGGTAGAGGAGGTAACGCCGATGCAGTCTTCAAAATAGCGACCATGGAGTTCAGGTTTGGGGCCTTGTATTGGTTGAAAAATTGGTGTTCAACAAAACCTACAAAAAGACTGGCATAGCTGGGTCCCATTTTGTTCCTCATGGTTACGCCATTGGTTTCTTTGAAAAAGTTATCCCCGAATAAAATACAATTATGTGTGAGCACTAGTTAAGCTAAGCGAAGTAGTGTTTCAGATCTAGGTTCCTTAACAGTAGGTTGATCGAAAAAAAGTTTGAGGTCCAGAAGACCTTCACCATTGGGAATTTCAGTATAAAGAGATGTAATGTCCATAGCGAAAAGAAGTTTCTCTTACTCTCTCTTTCATGCCGTCTTCCGCTTACCTCTTTCCAATCCAGTTACTTGTCCTTTCAGAGTTTCTTTCTGCTGCTCAACTTCCATCTTCTGATCCTCAATGGTTTTCAGCTTCCTCTGGATAGCTTCTCCCATTTTTGTCAAACGCTCGGTGTCCTGTTTCAGCCCATTAATCTCGTCTTCTTTTGCCTTCAACTGAGCAGCTTTTTGCGCGTTTTCTGTGGCCAGCCGATCATAGCTAAGACGTTGCTGATCAAAATCTTGCTGCACCTTGGTAAGGTGAGCCTTCAACATGTCTGTATCCTTCATGGCTTTTTCATTCAGTGCCTAAATTAAATCAAATAAAATCCTCAACTCTTGCTGATCATTTTTTGCTAAAAAAGTATCCATGACCAATTCTGACTATACATCTAATTTAAGAAAACTTTTTCTTTGAGGAAAATGTTGATTCCCTCTACTAGGGAAGTCCTACGAAGGATTGTGCTCAGTGAAAGTGACTGATGTTTAAATATAAGTATGCTACAACTGTAGTTTAATGACACAGGGGTGATATCTTCACATCTCTCTACATGTTGACTCAAATCAATCAAATCAAAGTTGTTAGTATTTCATAGCTGCTAACAACCTTGTTGTACGGAAATATGACCCTGTTGACTCCATAACACTCTAACCTCCCTGCAGATCATGTGACCAGATCATACCATATTTTACCACAACATGCAGTGGAAGTTATCATCATATGCCTTTCAGTCTTTTTGTCCAACAAGTCCAACAACAGTCCTTTTCAGGGAGTCCTAATTTACCCAGATGATCATACACACAATTGATTACATATCGTATACTAAGAAAACTCCCGTTAAGCATCATCTAAGTTGCTGACCATTGCTTGTCCTAGGGAAACCTACAAGGCATTTCTATTTTCTAAATCAAGCTTTGCTTCTCTCAATCCCCTCTCGATATTCTCCCTTATCCTTGCTTCTCGCTGCGCTTCATAACTTCGCACTTGAATATCTTCTTTAAGCTGTCGGAAAAATATTATTCGAATTTTATCCTATGAGTAACCATCGAAACCTGTCTTCCATCGATCAATTTTAAAATGTAATGGAGTCCTTAGTGATAATCATTCTTTTTTACGTTTTACTCAAACAAAAATTAATTCATAAAACTGAAATAGCAATACTAGCGGATCTGTTAAGTTTCATGAGAAATTGTGGCAGAGATATGAAAGTTTATATGGACCCCATATTTGCCAGTTTCTATAAAGAAATGGCATCAAGATCTAGCACTTACTTTGCATAGATTGGCAAGTCCAGCGGCCTATGTTGTAATGATTTAATAATACTCTTTCTGAAACTTTGCAAAGGTACTAAACTACACACGATAAGCTACTGTATGAGCATCATGTGTTGTTTTGCTGAAATCTAAAATCCAGACATTTTCTGGCTCAGGAAAATAAATTCACATCAAATGTAAGAGGGAGTAAGAAAATCTGAATTAGAGAAAACATGAAATCAAAAACCCTTACCTTGGCAATTTCAGAGAGCATTTCATCCCTTTCTTTTGCCGGTTCGTCCTTGATTTTAACCAGCTCATTCCTACTATGAGAGTGAATCATGCATTTGAGTTGTGAAATTACTCTAGCTTTGTTGCAAATCAGTGATTTTGATTCAAATAAATTGAACTGAAATAAGAGTCACAAATTCAAAATGAGTAAATGAGCCAGTATAAACTCAATTTTACCAGTGCTAGTAAGATGTTTTTTAAAATAATAAGTCCTATAAAGCCACATTATGCGCAAGTATCTTAAATTTGTGTCAAAGCAACGCTTCTGCCATTCATGTTTGACATTCATGTTCTAACTTCCCGGCCAAAGTGCAGCTTTTCGTCTCTGTTGCGTTTGCTGAAAACATCAGTCACAATATTCAGAGAAACACCGTTCTTGCGAAATTTTGATTGTCGAAGCTAGGAAAGTATCATTCATTATCATATTGAAAACAAAACCTCATTAAAATTAACTTTCAACGTACTTTAAAACACGCCTACTACAAAACTAGTTTCGTCCACGGACCTCTTCAGTTGTATGCGATGTTTCGTTTCGTTTCGTTGTTTCGTTAGAAATTCCAAATCTCAGACCACGTCAAATAACGTTGCACGTGCATATAACGTTGCACGAGCAATAACGTGGTATCTAGTTGGACAACAACGACGCTAAAGTAAAACTGATAAAACAACAACACCAAAGTAGAAAAACAAAGAAAAACAAACTTGAAAACTTACAAAAAAACAAAAACAAAAAACCAAAAAAACACCAATAACAATTAAATCAATATTCCACAATAATTACACTAACAACACAAATAACAATGATAACAATAGACAGACAATTAAATAGATTAATTACAACGGACTAGAACTCAGTTTCACTGTGCAATAGTCACATGATGAAATGTTCGTAGCCTCATTCACGATTGTGTGACAACAGCCCTAGGGATCCTGAAATAATTCCACTCGCTCTTCGTGTTTATCAGTTGATCTTGTTGAACCTTATTGATCTGTACTGACTCTGAGATCTGTCTCAGCATAGCGTCACCCTGAAACACTCCCGTGACATTCATTGTGAACCCTGGAACGTTACCGTCATGTTTCTCACATGAATGCCTCCACATTACTGAACTTTGCTCTCTCTGTTCCAAAGCTCGCAGATGTTCCTTCCCACGGGTGTATGCA